ACTGAGGTTGGAGCTGGTGCAGAATTTGGCTGCTGATTATTGGGACCCTGGGCAGGAGCCAAGCATAGTAGGTTTACCCTGGGAAGTGGCATAGCATTGCAGGAAATGCCAAACTCCTCTAACACTCTGGGAAGTGTGTGTGTGTGTGTGTGTGGGGGGGGGGATATATAATGCCCTACTTGAAGGGCTGAGTCATGAAGGGAGAGAGCACACGAAGTCACAGAAAGGAAGGCTGCAGGGTAAGTAAATGGTGGAAGAGGATACTGGCCTGGTTGAGAGCTGTTTTCCCCCAGATGCAGCCACAAAGAGTTGTCCCAGTAGTGAACAGAAAACCCTGTGACACCATGAAATAGAGCTAGGCCCTAAAGCAAAAAGGGTCATGGAGAAGTTCTCCTAGAGAGTAGAGTCTCTAAAGAGGAATTAGCCAATCAGAAGACAGGAGGGACTGTATAAGAAGCTGCAGGACTACAGGCAGCTCAGTTGCAGCCCAGGCCTGGAAGGGAGAAGGTTGGGGTGGCTGGCTGACAGACAGACCGACCCAAGGAATGCTCAGAGTGGGGAGTTGTTAGAACATTGTCTCCAGGAGAAGCCCTGGAAGTGCTATTCTCCTACTGAGTGGGGGAAACAGACTGAGAGAATGGACTGTGGATGGGCCTCTGTTAGAGGTATACGCTGGAAGGGGTTTGCGATTACACAGAGTGGGACTCAGCTGGAGGGCTGAGTAGCCTCAAGGCTGTAGGGTTGCCAGGTGTCCGGTATTCACCCAGGCAATCTGGTATTTTTGTCTCCTGTCTGGTAAAATTCAGAATACTGGACACCTAAAATGCCCAGTATTTTCTGATTTTTTTCCCCTGGCCAGGAGGCAAAAATGCCGGGCACCTGGCAACCCTACAAACACTCAGTGTCTGGCCTCCCCCCGAGTCCCAACCCCCATGCTTGCCTGGTTCCGCAAGGCTGCTGGCACAAAATGGCTGATGACCAACTTCTCTGCTGTTCCTATCCTTGCACTCACTCTTAAAGGGGACACGCTGTTTTATTTTAATTTTGTTTTGTTTTGTTTTGCTTATGTCTTGGAGTCTCTTTTTTTTTTTCCTCCCTCCCCCCCCCTCTTTTTTTCAGATTTTTTCCCCGGTATTTTTTTCGGGGTGGGGGGATGCAGTATTTTGGTTTCAACCATCTGGCAACCCTATTTAAGACAGAGTGCAGGCCAAATGGGGGTGCTCGCATGATGTGACAGCCCTTGTTTTGAGTGCCTAGTATTCCTTTATTTTAGGATTTTAACACCCTGGGAGAGGTGGAACTCAGAAAGTCAAAGCATCGCTACACTGGACTTCTGAGAAATGGCAACAGACCAGCGGAGACACTACAACAGGGTGAGCCATGCCCCATGGGACACAGTGGACACTACAGACATGGGTCCTGTCACAGTAACTTCTTTAGTGTTTGTGTCATTTCTTCTAAGCTGGGGTGCAATGTTCAAATCTGACCCTCTCATGCCAGCAGGAAAATGAACACTTCATTTGGGGGGTTATATCTTGAGATGCACCTTTTCCACCCTACTTCTTGCATTTTTCCACATGTTGAAAAGAAAAAAAATTGCTTGAATATAGTCTTTGAACTGTAATGAGATGTTGATGTTAACAAAAGATCACTATACAATCAAGGTTTCATAAACCTTACGGTACTCAGATATTCAACAGCTGGCTTTGTAGAAGTGCTCTTGGCAGGGGTGTTCATTCAAGTACTTTGGCAGAAAGAAATAAAACTCAGCTGTGAGAATAGCTGTACTTTTCCTCCTATGTGAACATTAGCTAATTATTTTTTCCAGATACATTTGGAGATATAAGATACCCCACCCCCCAGCAAAGTTATTTTCATAATGTAAATGAGATAGTGGGGGGAGGTGGAATGTTACATTTTAAGCTGAATGAAGCCGCTCTCCTACTATTTCATTTCGCACTGAAACAGTTTGAAACCTTCATATGTAGAAAGGGAGAGAAGGTGGTAGGGGTGAGTTAAATGCAGAGGCCCACAGGTGATTATGGCAATACAGAAAAGACATTATAGGACATCTGGATGGCTAAAAATCTGGCTGGCTGCCTGCCAGAAAAAAATCATGGCAGAAAATTCAATGTATAAGGTTCTATTATAATCTAGTAATCACTAGTCACGATAGAAGTCCAAATAACTAAAAGGAAAAAGAGGCTTGATGTGGACAACCCACTTATATTGTTGAAGTTGGCGCTCTGAAGCATTTCGTACAGTTGTTAATTGTGCAAAACTCATAGAACTAAATGTTATATGCATGCATTATAGTTATGAAAATTGCAGAGCCAGGAACTTGGATACTGCAGTGATAAGAGTAAAATTGTGTAGATAGGAACCTAAGAACAGCCATACTGGGTCAGAGCAACTGCTCATGAAGCCCAGAATCCTGTTTTCTGACAATGGCCCGGGCTAGGTGCCTCAGAGGGAATGAATAGAAGAAGTACTCAAGTAATCCATCTCCTGTTGCCCATTCCTAACTTCTAGCAAAAGGGAACTGGGAGGTAGGCAAATAGATGTGTAAGGTCTATGTCTAGATTTATGAAAGGGACTTTTTGGCCAGCTTTCTATGGGCTTTTGCCTGTAGGAAGTTAATGAGTTTTTTCCTCTCATTTCCTGTCTTTGAGCATTATTTAGAACCAGACTTTTAAAGGTGTTAAGCTTTGTTATGCCAAATGTGGCAATGCTTTATGGCTCTTTTCAAAAAGGGATTTGGGCACTTAGAAGACAAAATCCTGTTGATTGTAAATGGGATATTGGCTACCACATGCCTAAAATCCCTTTTGAAAACAGACTTAGACTTTGCTATGTTGAATGCAACAATTTCTAAATATCTGTAAAAGTCTGGGCTTTAACCATAATGCCTAACTTTATCTAGCTACAACATAAATATTCTAATTAGAGCTGGTTGGCTGAGCATCTTCTGACAGAATGGCTTTCCAATGGTAAATGTGTTCTTCACAAAACCATAATTTTGCAAAGGGAAACTTTCAATTTTACCAAAGAATTGCCCAATAAACTAAATAATGATTGTTCACTGGTCGCCTGCTTTTGAAAGCTCTTGACAATTTCACTTGTACACTGAGAAATAAAAGAAAAAACTTCCCGGTGTACTGCCAGAGGCTGAGCAGATTGGTGCACTGTTTTTCTCCTGGCCTAATTGTGTCTCTGGCAGTCAGCTCGAAGGAGGTAAAGAGCTGCTGGAGGCAAGCAGAAAGTGAAATTCTGAAACAAAATCTTCCTGGAAATTCTTTCCTACACAAATATTCATGTTTGTCTCTTCATCCTGACTGAGGATCTCCCCCCCCACACAAAAAACCCACAAAAAACCAACACACATTAATTTTTTCATGCAATGAGATTTTTTAGCCAGGTCTAATATAATTCCTGAATAACACACAGACTGCTATACATTTTAGTATTTCTAAAGTGCTTTGAAATCCTTAGATAAGTATCATGGGATGCAAGCTGTTCTTTGAACTATAAGAAACTGCATTGCTTCACATTATATTACCATGCAAGACCAGATTGGAATAAAGTTACCCAGACTTCTGAGGCAACTTCTAATTTTTCACTGGAATGAAGTCATCAATCATGATTGTCTGCTTTTTTTAATAGCTTGCAAACACCTTCAGTTCTGTTGACAAATTTTTTGTTACCTTTGTAAGTTGTGCTCACAATGTCCCTACAGTACTTTTGCAAGCAGTAACTAAACTAATGTTTCAATATTTTCTTCTAAAATGTTCAAGAGAGGAAAAATATGGTTTAGAGCCCCTTCTGGCTATCAGATGATTGAAACAGCTTATTTGATGTTGAATGACAAGCAGTATTACAGACCAAGACAGTATGAGAATAAAAGTATAAATGAGCAGGGAACAATCCTCTAAAGGTATTTTTAATAAAGGGCTCTTTTGTATGTGGTCATAATGGAAATCAATGGCGTTTGAGAATGCACAGCACCATGCATGACCAGGCCCCTTTTGTATGTGCAAAAAAGGCTGACTTTTAAAAGGACACAGCCTTACTCCTGCCCTACAGAGAAGTTGTTTGAACAGTCTTGGGGAAATGCGTTGTTAGTCAGCCTTCTGCTAGCCAGTCCCTTCTGTATTCTGAATAAATGAGAGATTGGAGGGGAACGGACACCTGAAAAACTGCCCATTTTTAAAAATATGCAAGATTTAAACATTAAAAACAAGTACTCAGCTTTGCCTCACTTAGTAGGTATTTGCGTCACAGAGCATTACAAAATTTGTATATTGCCACTTTATTAAGGCATTGTCCATCATCTGACAGGTTACTTGGGTGTCCTGAAAGGGCAGGTGGCCTGTTAATGATGCATTAATATAGCTTGTTAAATTACTTCATTAAAAATGAAGCTTTCATTCTGTGAACAAGCTTCTTCCTGCCACTCTTCTTCTTCCTGCCACTCTTCTTCTTCCTGCCATTCTTGTCTTTCCCCCCACATCTGTTTCATGCCCATTTGAAAAATCCTGTCCCTACTTAAATCCAGAGCTTGCTTACCTATCTACGTTTCCAACAGATCAGTCTGAGTCTGTTCTACAGGCAACTGAGTTTTTGATGGATCTTTCAGCACCTCTAGTGCTTCTGCAGTGAGGAAAGGGAGCTCTTTGTTTATACCCAACTCCCTTTCCTGGAAGGCCTTCCCAGACTCCCATACTTCCAGTTGCCCTGGAGACTAAGTGGTGGTCTTCCTATTGCCTGAAAGATTCTTGCTTGCATCCTTTGGAATCATCTCTTCCCTTCCAGAATCCCAGTATGGCTCTAGACTCTCTTCATGTGTCACTAACATGATTTTTGTGGCACAACAGGTCCAAGAGAAGTATCCAGAATACCACCAGCCATTGTTTATGGCATTTATTGATTTAAATAAGGTCTTTCATACCATCAGTTTTGAAGCATTATGGAGGGTGTTTAGGTTTGGTTGTCCATTGAAGTTTATTTGCGTTCTTAGGCTAGTTTATGATGGGATGACTGCAGCTGTGGTCAGTAGGGGGTTGGAGATGCATCTGTTCACCATCTGCATTGATATGGCTGCATTATCATCTCAACCCTCTTTTATTTCCATCTATCTTGACGTGATCTTGATTCTTATTGTGACCACCATTATTCTGGAATTGGGATTGAATATCACATGGATAGCCAGCTCTTGAGTCTGCAGTGTCTTCCTTCTAAAACGAAGGTCACCAAGACTCTTATTACCTTCAGTATGCTGATGATTGTGCTGTCCTTGTGCACAGAAGCTGATCTTAATCTTTTCTTAGGCATCAATCAGAGCCCGGGAGTCTCCCTCAACATTGGGAAGACAAAGGTAATTTACCAGCCTACCCCAGAACATGTTTCCAGCCCTTCTCCCACAAATCATCACTGGTGATGAACTCCTGGAAAATATTACCTCAGAGACCACCACTTCCAGACAGCCAGCCATGAGGTGGAGACTGAACATGTGATCTGTCGTGTCAGTGCATCCTTTGGAAAGTTGCTTCATCCTGTCTCTGTCATTAAAGATCTGTGAGTGGAAAGGAAGATCCTGGTTTACAATGCAGTAGTCCTCCCCACTCCTCTTTATAGATGTGAGACATGGGTGACACACTGAAACCATTTTAAGAGTCTGGCATGATACCAACAGTGCTGCTTTAGGAAGATTATCCATATCATATGGCAAGATGGTTGCGCTGCTGCAACTGTTCTGTAGCTAATGTGAATATTGAGGTGAAAATTATGATACCAGAGCTGTCCCATCCATGAGTGTTCGGGGCAACCACCCTCAGCCCTCATTTTGGGGGTTCTGCATTTTGGGGGCCTCAGCCCCCCATTTTGGAGTGGCCTGAGGGACTAGTGGGGGACCTGGTGCTGGCTGCAGGAACTGGACCCATGCTCAGGCACTGGAAGCAGCAGGAAGCAGAAAAATCTGGTCTAAGCCTGCTCTGTTCCCCTGCCTTCCAGCTGCATTACTCTGAGGAGGGGTTTTGGGGGAAGAGGTGGAACTGCTACTGTTCTCACCATTGATGGAAAGTGGAGCCACACAGCTAGGAGACAAGGCAGCAGAGTGGTTTGGGACTGGGCCACTCCACTTCCCACTGTCACCGAGGTGGGTCTGACTCCTGCTGGCAATGCCAGGCCCCTGCTAGTCCCTTGAGCTGTCTTAAGGGGAAAGGCCTTGGGAAAGGGGTGGAGTGTGGCCAAGGTGGGGAAGAACAGGAGTGGGGACTTCAGGAAAGTGGTGGAGTGGGGAATGGGGCAGAGCAGGGGTGGGAAGAGTTGTGGTAGGAGCAAGGTCTGAGATTGGAGCAGGGGATTATCCTAGGCCTGGCACCTCCCTTGGGAGGGTCCTATATGAAAGACCAATTTTATTGGGGTGGTTGTTGTGTGTGGATGGCTAATTCTCATCTTCCAAAACATGTAGTTTTTCCTCAAATTAATCATTGTAAAAGAACTCACAAAGAACATGGAGAAATACAACAAGGACCCTCTGAG